TACCTCCTGGTGCACTGCCATTAATCCCCATCTCTTTGTGAAACCTTTGGTGACCTATTGAAGAACCCCAGGGTTCCACAAACGGTTTGAAAACCACTGCTATAGAGGCCTGTATTCATATCGCATCATTTCCATGCTTCCAGCCACCCTCTGCAGATGAGTGCTGCCATTTGCCTGTTATACATTCCCAGCAGAAACTAATTTTTTATTTCTTCGGTTTGACAAACGCATTGAAAACTTAACTTTGCACATTATATATTTGCATGAATCTTCTTTTTACTTTCTTGACACAAGCACCCTCTGCCTAACTGAAACTGTCAGGACATGACTATATCTAGCTATCCTCTATTTTTCCTTTTATGTTGTTCTTTTGATTCTTCTTAACCCATAGCTTTCAACCTACTTCACCAATGTTGTTAGACTACTTTTGGATGCAATGGAAGCTAATTCACATATCTGTGGTGTTTCACTAAGCAAGTCTATCAGCACGATACATATTTCTGTGGTGAAAATTTCTCTCTGCTGCTAAAAGGCATGCAAGTTAAATACCCTGTCTTCTAACATGCATGTTTTTAGAAGCAGAATGAAGGGGGGGGGGCTGTTTTGTTTTGTTTTTCCCCAGAGTTATAGCTGACTTTGATGGAGTAAGTCCTTCTGGGAAGAGTGTCCAGGAAGAGTGGCATCCCAAGAGTTTCCAGGAGGTGTGGCATCCCAAGAGATGGTGGGTGAGCTAGCAGGCAGCAGGATCTTCCTGGTGTGGCTCTGTCTCCTGGGATGCCACACTTCAGGACATTCTGTTTCCAGGAGGACTTAATCTGTGTCACACCAAGGTTAGGCCTCAGACCCTTGTAAGAAAGGTAGCAAAACTTAGCTCCTTGCTGTAAGCAATTCTTTTATATAAGCTCCTGTAAATAAGGTGTTGTTTCTACCTTGCCAGCCTTATCATGGTACTAGTAGCAGGTCACTTACCACTTCAGGCACGAGCTACAATGCTCAGACAACAGCTATGGCTGTGAGAGGCTTAACATGTGACTCAGCCATTTTGGCAGCGGCATAGCATGCATAGTGTCTCTAGGATTGCTGCTTTTTCAGTTAAGAAAACAGCTCCTCTGAGACGCATCCTAGTTTCAGAGGGCTGATTTTGGGGGAGAAAGGTGAGTGGTGTATGCAAGAAAATCTAGTGATGTGTGCGTTTGCAAGGTTACACATGCATTTCTGAGCCTTTAACTGTTTATCTCAGCAGTATTTGAGCAGTTAATGGGAAAGCTATAAATAGCCTTGAATTCTTGAGTTGAATAAACTCCTGGTGAAACTCCAGGTAAAGTAAGATAATGTGCAAGTGATGCTTCTGAAAACGTCAAGACTGATGTACATCAAAATGGCCTTGTTGGTGAGCAAACGCTGCAACTTCTCTGAAAGGAGAGAACCTGACATTGCTTCAGGATAAATGAGCATTTGACTGCTCAGGGCCGGGAACTCTGTTGCTGAGTCACAGTTCTGCAAGCTCCCTTTTTTTCCCCCCTACCCTTTAAGCACAGTCTTTCTTTGAGAGCTGCATTTTGTGATTCACATACAAATCCTAATCTAGGGATGGGGGGAGTGTGTAAGGGGAGAAGAGGTAACAGTGCTCTGCTGTATTGATGGTTTTATCTGCTGCAAGCAGCAGGGACTGGGTATTAGGTCAGAGTTCCTGAAAAAGCAAGGATTTCTTTCACTTCAGTACAGATCTAAATAAATATGACTGCAGCAATAGAGGGAAACCCTGGATGGGTTAGAATGACTGACTGGCTGTGAAGGTGGACTGTTATCCAACTACTGCTTGAATAATTGAGCAAAGCTCAGGAGAGATGGAGAGATGAAATATCAGATGCTTCATACAAAGCTTCTGGTTTCCAAAACAAATGGCCTAGCTGCAAGTAGGAATACCAAAGGAGATATTTTGTGTCTACTGGCTCTAATACAACCGGAAAAGGGCCAGCATCCTAACTCTGATTAGAAGAGACCCTTCACTGTTTCCTGAAACAGACAAACTTATCTGCATGCTCCTGAGCATGCTGCAGTGCTTGGATGACTGGTAAACAGTTTACAACTGGCTTCAAGAATGTGCCAGAGGTCCAGACTATGCCAAGTCTCTTCCGCTGGTAGACAAAGACACAGCTCATGCAAAAGATTGAAATTAAGCAATGACCAATTGTTTGTCTTCAAGTTCAGTAACAGCTATTCACCATAATGACACAGACGCTATGAAGAACTTCCAAGTTTCATGATCAGAAGGCTTTCAGATGCAGTGTAAATTATAAACTTGGCAGAAAAGGTAATTTTTTCCTAAATACAGTGTTCTTAAAGAAAAGGCCCTAGTACTGGGAAGTTAATCCAAGCTGAGGCATTTGCTGAGTGACCTTGGCCAAAACATTTGACCTTTTGTTTCATTTAACCCAAAGGTAAAATCAAATTAAAAGAAAAGATTGCCTCGACGAGCATCTACTGTGATAAGCTAGGCCTGTTTGGATAAAATAAATGGCAAGCTTGATGATACTGATATGTTTTCTGTATAAGTGGTGTCTCCAGAATAGTGATTGCATGTTGAGACCCATATCAACTAGACCAGAAAGCTCAGGACTCAAATAATACTTCTTTTAAGATGAAAGACCTAAAGACTCTGGAATTCATATTCCAAGCAAAGAAAGACTTGTGTGGAAGGAGTCTGGAATTAGCTAGATGAGTAACCACCCCAAGCAAGGTAACAGGAACAAGCAGAGAGCCCATAAGGAATAAAAATTCCTTATTCCTGCCAAGGAAGCTTTTTCAGAGGTCAAGATGAAGTGCTTGGGGAAAGTGAGGTGTAGACACACAAACTCTGTATTGGAATATGTTAGGGTATAGCCTTGTCAAAAGAAAAGAAATCAAATACGACTAGATCCCATTATAATTAAATGTCAGAATCCAAAGTATTTTTATGTTGTTGTATTTTGAATACATTCAGACTTCATAACCTTCCATGCGTAATACTGAACTAGGTTCTTCAAAAATGAGGAACCATGTAAGTGGTACTGATACAAAGCGTGAAACCAGAGCATTACTCTCCTGGCTAGTATGATCTGTAGGAAGTACAGTCTGGGTGCATCTACACATGCCCCTGACTGCGCAGTTGGTACTGCACAGTCATTTAGTACTTGATTTATCAGTACTAAATGATTGTGCAGTACCCACCAGTACTGTTCAGTCCCAGCGGCACACAGATTGTTTTCAACCCTACTACATAGTAGTGGCGGCCTCATGGTTAGTCCATACCGATGCTGTGTCGCCATAGCTCATTGCTACAGCAGTGTAGCATCTCATGTGCCCTCTGAATATGTATACTTCTTTGCAAGAAGTAGTGGAATTGGTAATATTGTTTCTTTAAATGTATGATTATGAATGACTGACAGTGCCTGTCCCTTTTCCAATTCTTTTGTTGCACCCCTGAAAATTGTCCCCCAGCCCTGCTCAAAAAAGAATTTCCATAGTTTGTTCAAGTGGCTGTGATAGTAAAATGTGTTGTAGTGATTTGTCTGCTGCTTCAGATCCAGTACTGATTTTTATATAAAACTTGTATGCTAAATAGGACAGAGTCCGTATTTCTTATTCAACAGGGACTGTTCTTCTATCAGTTTCAGAGTCAGTCAGCTTTATGCACCCATTCCTTGGCCTAATACAGATACCTGATTCTGTAGATGTGAAAGTTACCTCAGTGGCTCAGCTAGGTTTTAGGCCAGTATTTAATTTTTTGTTCCATTCTGTGCCTGTTTTCGTATTGTATCTTACCTATTTTCTGTAAAAAGAATGTCCAGGAAGGATCGAAGCCTGTAGTTTTCATTAACTTCTTGATAAAAGCATATTATTTATTACAATAGCTGATAGCTTTGGGGATTGTTATAGTGAGCTAGCTAAGGAGAGCACTGTTTGCAAAGGTATTCAGTAACCTCTACTAGTGTATTCATATTCAAGCTTCTGTAGACGAAATGGCTTATAAAGTACATGCATTTTTAAATGTAAACTCTAAATTTTGCACGTGCAAATGCATTGGTATGAAGGGATTAAGTGAGTTTATTTTTATACATGGCTATATTCCTTCAGCAATATTTTATGTTTTTATTAAAGTTCACAAATAGAAAGTAAATGAGAGAGGATATCTGTAGCATGCATGTTTCTTTGGGAAATATGAGGGTCCCAATTACTTCTCAGTGGCTTCTCTATCCTTTCCACTGCTGTACAGGCTTGTGATATTTGGCAACTTCCTGTTATGAGAAGACTGGATTGAACTTTTTCAAAGTTTTTTAACACTGCTGCTTAATTGACCAGAGGGGTAACTTAACTACAGTGACACTGTGTAACATAATCCAGGCAAGGGAACTATGCTGTTCTACAGCTAATGAGAGAACTGTCAAAATCTTCCTTGAGAAGGGTATATTACTGACTTAAGGGCACTCTGGGGTTAGTTTTTATAGTCAAATAACTGTTTATGTAGCCAGCTTCTAAACTGAAGATGCTTCATTTGTTAGCTGGGTGGGAATTGGGACTTCAGAATCATTAGGAATGGAACAACTCCAAGTGCAGTTATCAGAGAGAAATCTGGATAGAAATGTAAGAGAGTTCAATGCTTTTCTGTGTTAAGTAATCTACCGTCTTGGGGATTTGGTGTCTCTGGGGACTGGTTAGGGGCCAAAAGAGCCATTTACAGTGACCCCCAAGTCTCCAGTATGTATTTGAGGATTACCACCAGGATATTTGGGGAACCATATACAAATTGGCTTGGTGTCTGTTTTAGTTTTAAGTGGATTGGCGATTGCATCACCATAATTGGAGAATTTCCTGGAAAATCCAAGGATTTTATGGGCTGAACAGTATCTATCCAAAAATATAGCCGGGCTACATAGCCATGGATAATTCAGCATGAATTTTTCCTCCCACTCCAACTCTAATCTCGCGTGTGTTTCTTTTTTGTTGATTTTGCATTGCAGGCAAACTAAAAGATCTTGGGAACTTGGTTCTCCGTCCCTTTGGCTTATCAACAGAAAATTTCCAGATCAAACAGGATTCCTCAACTGGCTCCTACTCCATCAACTTTGTTCAAAATCCAAACAATAACAGATAACATGTCAGGCCTAGTTCTATTAAAAAGCTGGCTTTCAAGCTTTGTGACAGTGTGCTTGCAGCTACCAATAAAAGGATTCAGTAACTGCTTAGTTTCTAAAATCACTTTATCCAAATTTAAAATACACGTGAATCATGTTCATATCACCTTTTGTGAAATAGTTACAATTGTGGGTGTAAACCAAGCCATGACTTCCTCCCCTCCTTTGTAGTAGTAACTTTTGTCCTAAGTGTGGGTTTTTTTCCTGTGCATTATTTGACTTGCCAAACAGGGAAGTGGGTCACCTTGGCTCATTCACTCAGCAACATAGGCCTAGCAAGCAGTTGGATGCAATGCTCGCACAGCTGTAACCAAAGTACAAAACTTAATGGGTGTCTTATGGAGCTAGCAAAATCCAGAAGAGACAGTGTATTTGAGGAGCAGTCATCCTCTGTGGCATTACTTTTCTTCACTGTAATAAAGGCTTGATGTTTGTTTGACTGACTAATGGATTTTTTCTTGCCTCTGGGAGGTGATCTTTTCACAGAGGCATTTTTTTTAAGAGAACGCATCTAAACAAAATATACAAATAATGAGTTTGCAAGAGACATTACAGAACTTGTGAGACTTTTCATTTTGTACCTTCATACCTGCGTTCCTCTACTTCTACTCTGATGCTCTCAGGAAACCCGTTGGAAGCTATATGCAAATCACCTAAACATTTCAGTGTCTTACCATGAAGTTAGTGATATTCCTTTGCTATAGATCCAGTACATGTAGTTATCACAGTAGCTTTCTGATGCTAGCAATGAGATGTAGACATCAGTGGGCGTGTCTACATGAGATGCTACTGCACAGTCATTACTGCACATTTATTTAGTACTTGTATTAACAAATACTACATAAATGTGTAGTAACTGGAGTTACTGCACGGTAGCGCCAGTGAACATCTTTTAAGTGACACTACTGTGCAGTAACCTAATAATACTGTGCAGTAGCGTATTAGCACTGTACTATGATGTGATGCCATGCAGTATTATTCAGCTACTGCACAGTCAGCATCTTGTGTAGACGTGCCCAGTGATATGTAAGTGATTGCAAGCATTAACCTATGCTAGAATCTCAAACTAGAAAGGAGTGAAAGTATTTATGTGCATATATTATTCAACTGCTGTGCAACATGGGGCAGGGTAATTTTTTTGTAACTTGCAGTTAAGCATTTTGTCTCCTCAGTAGCTTGCAGGACTAAAGCCAAACCTGTTTACATTGGGTTTATTGTGCTGTAATTTGAAAATATGAATCATTTCACTAACCGAGTGGTATCTATGTGCTCATTTCAGTTCCCACTCAGTTTTCCCCTGAAACTTTCCATTTTCATTCTCTGGGAAGCTAGAAATTTGATATTCATGGCTCCACCCCTAGTTCTTACTGTGGTAAGCTCAGAGGGGACAGGCTCTTCAGATATGTCTTAGCTTTTTCACTCTTAAGTGGAATTCAGTCTTTCCACAGTTATTTTAAAAATTCCTGCTGCCATGTTTGGCTCTGTTTTCATGGGTGAGTTTTGATTCCATGGCTACCTGGTGTGTACACAGCCTGTGTTCGAAGCGACCTCCAGCCTGCAGCAAGTGTGTGTGAAGTCCACAGAGACAAAAATTTATTATCAAAAGAGAAATTACCCTAATCCACTTAGAGGCCTGCGCAGACTAAATTCTTCAGCATTAAAATATTGTTTAACTAAACAACAGAAAACGGTCTCAAGGATTTCCACGTGCAGGGGCCCTAGCCATGCTTTGCACTGCTAGAATGGGGCTTCACTGTTTGCAGACGGCCTGGTCTTGTGCTGCACCCAGTTTCTGCTAGATGAAGGGGAATTGTAAAGTGACTGGTTGCTCCTGGTGTAGTTGAGAAGAGCTGTGCTGCCATGTCCCCAAAGAAGCACTTTACAAGCCAGGGCTTGAGGAATGGCTGGAACTGACTTGTTTAGGTATTTGTCTCTCAGGTCTTCTGCCTACTCCACGGGAGTCGTCAGGTGGTTTTGTGTGCAAGGCTTGAACCTGGCTTAGGGCTCAGCTTTGAATGTTCGACTTCATTTAGCTACCCCTGGGGAGGGGGGGGACTCCAGACATTTAAAAAAAAAAAAAAATTAACACAGGAGCATCACAATCCTGTTCATGACACTTTGTAAGTTGTGTTTTGATCTGGACTGATTAATTCACTGCTAACTTTACTGTCCTCCATTGTTTACACATGCCTGTCTGGTGTTGAAAGTGGTGAGTGTACAGCTTTAAGAACCTCCTGCCTTGTCCAAAACCTACTTCGGAAGGAAATTTCCTCTGCAGCTTTTCCCTGCTTTAAAAATCTGAAGGTCTGCAAAATAGCCAATATTTTAAGTGCTTGGGTGAAAGTCAAAGACTTGCCTGAGCCTAACAACCTACTGGGCTTAGGTGGTTAAAGCACGCCAGTGCCTATAGCCAGTGGTGCACAAGGGAGAGATGTGGCTGGCCTAATGTTCAACAATTGTTGATTTTTCTCAGCTCGTATGACCAAGTGCCCATTTAATTGCCGGGGGGTGGGTGTTAGCACAAGTCTGGAACAAAGCTTACATTTGCAGCTCTGCTTCCATGGCTTGATGTCCTAACTGCTTCTACAATTATGCGTGACAGGTGCTGGTAGGAAAGGAAAATGGTAATTTTTTTTTTACTTCAAAGAACAAGAATGCACAAGACCAAGTGATTACCTGACATTTCTAGTAGTGTTTAGCGCAATCACATAGTCACCTTAACTTGTAAGCTTGTTGTTCCATGTATACAGTCATTTAAATAACTTTGTTTTACTAAAGATGAAAAGTCCCAGTGAAGGATTGGAAAGCAAATGAGGTCCCTAATTTTTTAACAGGGCTACAGTCCATTGGTCACATTGTCTTGAATAAATGCCACCCTGTGGGTACAACAGAATTCCAAAATATTTTAAATCTGTGATTATAGATTCCAAATAAGTGCTTGTACAGAGCCTGTTTTCCTCATTTAACTGTCTGAACAACAGCATAAATACTGCTTTTTTTAAAAGGTTTTTCTAACTATTAAGTATAAATATTATATTATTATGCACATAAATTGTAAATATTAACATCACAGAACTCTGCAAGGTAACTAATTATATCTCCTTTTCAACTAGCAACAGGCAAAGAAGTGATGGGAAGGTAACTTAGGGCTCACAGACAGGGTTCACAAACCTTAATAGCAGAAATAATTTAATGAACCTTGACTCATAAAAACATTTGAGTTTCTGGATTTAATATGCCCCTGGAGTATTTCATGAGCTGAATGTTAAGAGCTGTGCTTACACATGAAACCTGGAATGTGAGTTGGATTAGCCAATCTTCCTAATCCAGGCTACAAAGGTATAAGTGGAAAGAATGAATTGGATATGTTAGTTCAGGGGTAGGCAACCCCTGGCATGTGTGCCAAGTGTGTAGTATGTGAAGGCATTTTGCTTGGCACATGCACCTCAGGGCAGACGGTGGGGAAGGGGGTATGGCTGCGCTGCCACAACAAGGATCAGGCTCTATGCGGCTCTCTAATACCCACCCCTGGAATGCCAACTTTTTACAAGTTGAGGCTATGGGTGTTTTGGGCACCCTGCCCAAAATGCTGCCAACCCTTGTGTTAGCTCTTGTTCAGCTTTATTCAATAACACAGCTGAGGAAAACTCAGCTGATTCCATTTAAACCGTTCTTTTATCATAGATTCATTCACAGAGTTCCAACCAGAAGGCACTCTTTGATAATCTAGTTTGATCTCCAGATAACCCTAGCCATTGCATTTCACCATATTACCCTTGCTTTAAGCCTAATCACTTACATTTTGGCTAAAGTATTGTCCAGACTAAAGACACCACCCCATAAGATATGAAAACTCCAGGAGCATGCATACCTATCCTTTATAGCTTGTCCCAATGGTTAATCACCTTCCTTTGTAAACATTAGTGCTTTAAGATTTAAATTTGACAATGTAATTGGTCAGCTTCAGACTCCTGATGATTCTTGCTTTTTGTTATACCTTTATCTGAGTTTAGAAGATTTTTTTTGTACCTGTTTCCACCCCTGCCCGCGTGAATTTATTGGTGTTAGAATCAATTTGCCTTTCAGTCTTCGATTAACTAGACTGATTGAGCCTCTTTTTAAGCTTGTTACTGTTAGGCTTTAATTCTAGCCCTCAAATTTTGTAGCTCTTTCCTGCATCCTTTCTAGTTTTCCAGATCTAACACAAGGTGGACCCCAGCCCTGTATGTGGTGTTTCAAGATATGTCTAACCAGTACTGTATGAAGGAGCCAAATTACATCCCTGTTTCTATTCACTGCTCTGCTGTTCACGCATCCAAGGATTTCATTAGCCATTTTGGCCATGGTATTGCAGGAAGACCTCATGTTGAGTTGCTTTCCCTGTGTGACTCCTAAATTATCTTTAGTCAGAATACAGTTCCCAACCCTGTAGGTATGGCTTGCTATATTTTATCATTTTGCACTGAGCTGGTCTTGAATGTTCTGTATGGCTACTCCATCTTTGTTGCTGGATATCATTCTACCAATGTATTATCCATATTTTTGTCAATAGTGACTTTATTTTGGTTTCCAGATTATTCATGAACATACTAGGCCTCAGGCCTAGTATAAATCCCTATGTAATCCTGCTTAGAAGTCCAACATATAATGATGGATCCCATTAACTTTTGAGACCTGTGAGTTACTAATCCATTTAACAAATATGTTATTGATATGGTATAGTGGTAATTTTTAATCAATATTATGCAATGCTAAGTATTATGTGTGTGCTTTTAGGGTGTAAGCAGATGGTCAATTTACATTGATGTAATCTGTCTTTATACTGTTGCAAATATGCAGTGGACACACAGTGGATATCCGGGTATCAAAAAAGTAAAAAAAACCCAGAAAAAAAGCCGGGCAGGGACTGTGCCCTCAGGCAACTGGAGGCTTGGGTCCTCCAAAGAGACACTCTGGTAGGCGGCCAGAGCGTCTCTATGGCTGCCTCTTGCCCCAGTGCTGAAGCACATTGCCTCCATGTGTGGCAGTCTGGAGCAGTGCAGCCTGCATGGACCCCGGCTCTGTCCAAGGTAAGTAAGGGACTAGAGGTTGTGGGGGGGGAACTAGAGCAGGGGAGCTGGGGAGTGTGAGGGACTGTGGGTGCAGAGGGGGTGCTTAGGAGGGGTGGATCCCTCACCTACCACCCACACAGCCCCCTCCCCTCGCGCAGCAGCAGCCGCCCAGCTCGGGGTCCTTCTGGCAAAGCCGCCTGTGGTGTGGGGCAGCGCGACTCGGCCCCAGCTGGCTGGCACGCAGTGCTGCTTGTGCCAAATTGCGTGGGCCTGGCTTGGCATGGCACCATGTACCCTTGGGCAGCTCCAGGCCACTCAGGCCATCATATGGGGCCCCGCACCTCTTGCAGGGACCACCTGTTATGCTGGGCCAGGTCCTGCATGCACAGAACTGGCCTGGGTGGGGCCCATGCACACAGGTCCCAGCCTGGCGCAACAGGTCCCCGTGAGTGGTGCAGGGCCCTGGGTGACGGCCTGAGCTTCCCGAAGGTGCACGGTGCAGCGCTGCAGCAGGCTGTGCCCACACAATTTGCCACAAGCAGCACTGGGTGCCAGGCAGCCAGCGCTGAGCTGCACGGCCCTGCCTTGTGGGGGGGCTGTGCCAGGAGGCCCCAAGCACCACGACGGCAACTGCTGCCGGGGGGGGGCAAGGGGACCCACGGGACTCACCCCTCCTGAGCAGTCTCTCCCCACACAGTTCCTCCACACCCATAATCCCCCCACACCTACCTACATACCAACCCACATCCTTCCCCTGCCCCCAAGCGCACACATTCATTGTGTCCAACTGCCAGACAGCGTGAGACCTGCTGGCAGGAGCTGTGGCTGCAGGGGCAGCTGTCCCCACATCCTATTTAGTGAAGGGGTTGGAGGGAGCTCTAATTCTTGTATGATAAGAAAACCAAAAGCAAACATCAAAACATTTAGATATTTAGAATGTATTTTATTATGATGATAGAGGCACTGGTAGGCTTCCATATCACTTTAGAATTGTAAATATATCAATAAAACATTGCCTAACTGGTCTCTCGATCTCTCTCTCACACACATACACATATGCATAGTGGTTTTTTTGTTTTAGTTGCTGTCACAGGTGGCAGCAGGTCATAACCAGACTGCTGCAGTGGGTAGAGGGTGCAGGGAACTCTGTTAGGGCTGCTGTAGCAGTCCAGCTGGCACAAGGAGCCCGTGTTCCCAGATACCAACTGGCTGGGTTCCAGACGCTTTTGAGAGCAAGTAGCCCTGAGCTGCTACGCAGGGCAGCTTTTTTATACTGCTAGGGCCAGCGCAGGGCAGGCTTGTATACTGCTGGGTCCAGCACATGTGCTGGCCGCAGGCTGTAGCTCCCCTTGGCTGCAGATCCAGGAGTAGTTGGGCAGAGTTATTTTGCCCCAAGTGGCACAACTTGCCCCACCAAAGTGCATGTTTGGGCACGTGTGCTGAGGCAGAAATCCCCAGTTCAAATTTGTGCCTCTCCTATTTGAGCTGCTGCCTGCATGTGTGGATGCACCCACAATGTCCAGCTCTACACTCGGGAAAGTTGCTCTGTTCTGAGGGAAAGCTGTCCCTCAAAGGCAGAACTGCTAGTGTATCTGGAGCTGTAGTCACTTCCCTCAATAGCCATTTGTTCAACAGAAACTAGCTACAGCCGAGTCGCATCTTGCGCGTATTTAACTTACGCGAATTCAGCTACATGCACTCAACTGCTGGGGCTGGCTGCCGGGTGCCTGCCGGGGCACAGCGCATAGTGCGGTGCCATGTGGAACTGCCTGCACGCGCCGGCATGGCTGGGGGCAGCAGCTCGCTCACGCTCAGCTGGCTGCCCTGCTGGGATGAGGCAGCGGAGGACAAGAGGGGTGAGGAGCGCGTGCGGAAGGTGCAGCTGTTGCAGTGCACACACGGGCTGTGTGGCGCCGCACCCGCTTTGTCCAGGCCCTGCGGTGGCGGTGACTGCTCAGGGCCGAAGCACGGCGGGAAGGGCGATTTCAGCTATGTGCGATTTTCGCCTTACACACTGACTTCACAACATAACCCCCGCATAAGATGCAACTCGGCTGTATATACGAAGTCTCCCATCACCTAACAATAAAGCATCATAATAGTTTCTAGTGCAAATGGTTATTATTGTTCATCTGTCTAGTCCAGATACAAGTGTAAGTTATATCCAAGGTAATGTGTTGTATCTATAGCCAGGGCTGACCCAAGTAGGGTGCGGGGCCTGGGGCAAATCAGTCCATGCAGGGCCCTGCCCCTGCTCTGATCCCACATGCCCTGGACCTGAAGAAGCTGCTGCCACCATCAGCAGTGGTGGCGTGGTGGGGGGGGTGGCGTACTGTGTGGCTGGACACAGAGCCACCGCTCTGCCCAGCTCTGTGGGGCCCAGGGCAGTCTCCCCTGATTCACACCCCCCTCCCCCCCCAGAGATGGCCCTGTCTATAGCTTTAGCTTTATCAACTGCTCATAAGCTCAAAGAAAGAAATGAGCCTGGTCAAACAAACCTATTTTCCATAAAGCTATGTTGGTTATTATTAATTATATTTCTGGGGGTTTTTAATTCTTTATTAATAGACTTCAGTTAGCTTTTCCATTAACACAGTTTCTCACATACAACATACACTTTTTTTCCTCTCCAAAAGTCAGCCCCTAACCTCCCCACCCAAAAAAAAAGAGGGGAGGATGTACATAGTAAGTGGCGAAGCTGTTTTCTGTGCTGGAAGACACTGCATCCCATGGCTGCTTTTTGTCTGGCTCACCAAGCTGAAGGGTCAGAGTCCTGTGTTGACCCTCTCATACCTATTGGCTGAGCACTGTAGGTTGTGCTGCTTGTATCTCGAGGCTTGTGCTGTGGAAACACTTTCTTTACAGGAACTCCTGTACACAACTCCTTTCAAAAAAGAACTAAGAGTCTTGCTAGTGACCTTGCAAGGGCCTGGGGCCCAACCCTGCATGACACAGAGGAAATCTTCCCCCAAACAGGAAGTTCCTCCTTCCTCATGGCAAACTTCCTGGGCACTGTCTCAGTTCTCCATGACTGGAAAAATCTGTTTCTACATACCAGCTTGTAGCTTCATTCACCATGATACAAAGGCACTAAGTTTATTCTTCAGGGAACTTACATATTCCAGTCAGCAACCAGAGAGGTTGCAGACATGGTCCGTGTTTTATTTGGGGCACGCTGTATGTGAGAAAAGACAGTATTTTGGCTGGGACTGATGTTAGGCTAATGGACCTCTAATAATACCTGGGTCGCGCTACTTGCCTTGGAGTATTAGCCCAATATTAGGGTTCTTCTACTATTCTAGAATTTTCTCAGTCTTTCAAGATCTATTGAAAATGGTCTGGGCAGGTAAAAGGACTCTGGCTGCTCTTCTGGGCCCTCTCAGGGACAAGTCTGCAGAGTCAAAAATGTCTGCCCCTTGCAGATGTTTAACATTGGTTACTAATGGACTGGAAAATGTTTTATTGCCCTACTTCTTTCAAATACAACACAGAGCTATTTCTTTGATACTTCTGCCTTTCCTGCATTATTAATTTTATGATCTTTATTGACCTAGAGAATCACTAGGATTGTATTTATTATTCTAAATAAACGTATTGCCCTTAAAGAAAAATCAGTGTCTGGCAGGGTTGATTTCAGCTGCTTTTGCTTATTTTTTTTCCTGTGCTTTACAACTTCTAATTTATGTTGACTGCTATCTAGTTTGCTTTTTATATTTCTCATTTATTAAGTATTACTTTTTTTTTTTTAATTTCTCGTTGCCTCTACTAGTGACCCAGAAAGAGCTCTCATACAAGGCTGTCAGGCTTCTTGATTGTGGAATTGACCTTTGGCTTTAATAGGGCTTTGGCCTTATAGCTTTTAAACTCCCAACTTCATTCCCATTTATTCTGATTTTTTTTTTCTCTTCCTATTCAAATTCATCACTTCCTTCAGCTTTGGGAAATTTAGCTCTCTAAAGCACCATGCATACATGCACACACACATACTATTACTGACTGACATTATCTGTTTGGTCTGAATTAAATTGGGTCATTGTTATTGGTTCAGAAACAACCACCAGCTTCCAGTACAGTTTCTCCCGCATAATTAAGTCCAGACTAGAGTTCCTTCCCAGTGGGGCCATTTTCTTTGGGGCTAGAAAATTATCTATAATTCCCATGAGCTCTAGTCGTAGTAAGCATCTGGCTGTCTCATGAGCCCACAGAATTATGCTGAGTGAGACATCAGCTCACTGAACATAATTCTTACTTGAAAGATAAAGCGAAGCTGGAGTGACCTCTCCAGGATGCAAAAGCCTGGGCAGTGCACATGGAGGTACTGAGCTGCCCACGCACCAGTGTCCCCCTCTCAGCCTTGCTGGTTTAATTCAAAGAAAAGGCAGGTGCCAATACATGTGGAACCAGGCTGGCTGTAGCTGCCAGAGAGATCTTCCATGTGTACAAAATGCATAAAACATGAAGAAAACAAAACACTGAATACCTGCTTACCTAGTAAGCAAAGTCCATTCTATGCACTGAATGATGAAGGGGTAATACAGAACAATAGCAGATGAGCATGCAATGAAAGAGCCCATTCACCTGCATACATACAAGGGGGCTGCATAGAGATTGCACAGGCAGCTGGAATTCTAATATTTTCCAGTTTTCCACAATTGACTTTTGGACTGTGCATCTAGCACACACATTTCACAGTCTCAGATACTGCTTTATCTGCAAATCACGATATTAGCCAAATTAGGACAGGCGTTCACAGAAGACAGCAAAAAGCAAGTCCTTGGTACACAAGATGAGCCTCCCACCAATATTTTGCCACATTGGCATGTCCTCCTCTCTGCCTCTATTCCTATAGGACACTGAATTTTTTTGAGCTTCTGGGGGGCTGTGCACTAAAGACTCTGTTGTGGTATGTTAATTAATTCTTTGTGGCTGTGGCATGCAGGAGAAACTGCAGTAGCTGTTCCCCGGGATCCCTTCAGACCAAATGTCTCCTAGGTGGTTGTCTGCAACCTGCTTCCTTCTCATCCTGTGTTCTGGTGGGACCCATTACCTCTATCTTACAGCTGGGGAAGTGAAGAATAAAGAAATTAAGGTCGCATGCATCCATGCATTTTGAATTCCCAATCTGAGGCACCCAAGACCTGATTTTTTGGAGAACTAAGCATTATACAGCACTTTATTTATTCCAGCATAATTTAAATTGCTTTCAGTTGTAGTTGAGAGAGCTCAGAACTCCTACAAATCAGATGGCATGTTATCAAATCAAGAATCCAGAAAATAAGGAACACAGAGTTTGTGATCACCTGTGAAAAGTTTGGCTCAAGTGATTTGCTGAGCATCTCCTGAGACCCCTGTAACTACCTTGTTTTTAACACATTGCCTGAGCAAAGGAGATAGCAGTAGTGTTTCGCACAATGCACGAGTGGGGACTGGAGTGGATGGGCAGCCCCATGTTCTTGTCAAGAGTCCTAATCTGCTTCCTGGTGTTAGAAATCATGGCCTATCCCTGAAATAGCATCCCCCAAAACCACATTATTAAAGAGTTAACCACATTTCACCTTGTCTTTTTCAGATCAAAAGTTCCAGCCCACAAAAATATTTGGCCTTGGGGTTTTGCCTTTTTTCCACACAGCAAGCACAATTCCCGCCCACCTTGGTATTAAGCACATATTAAAGGCAACCATTGATTCTCTGGACTATGGTGCCCGTACAAGAGGTCCAGTCAGGTGCTTCATGAATCCACCTGTGGCTGACACTCTGCAGCCCCAGAAACTGGCACAAGAAGCAGGGGGGAGTTTGTGCCCATTTTAGCCTGAGCAACTGCTGCCAAGCAGCTCAGGGCTGGGTGATCCACACTCAGGCTTTATCCACCTCCGACATTAGCATCCACCACATGCTGTTTCCTATAGGAAGCCCCCATCGCTTGCCCACCATGTTTTGTTCTTAAAAGATGTGGGAGGCTCCTGTATGACCTGGACTTATTGTGGGGTGCTTTAGACGGGCTTTTTGGGGGCTCCACATCCCCTACATCTCTTCCAAGCACCGACCTGTTGGTCTCACATTGTGTGGTAGATAGTCTGGGCTCCTCTGTGGTTCAATGTACCATCTCACCCTGGTTGAGCTGACAGTCCACTAGGGACTGGGCGAGGTTATTTTGTGCTCACACCCTGCCTAGGAGACTTAAGCAATCTGGAGGAGTGATCTTACTCTCTGACACTGCCCTGTTGTCTGGACAGGCCTTCTGAGCTGACCTTACTATGTGCCTGTGCCTCAGAGTCCCCGAGAGCTCCTGGCTTCTTGGCACTGGGCAAGGCGGCTACAATACATGGCGCTGACTTAAAGCCCCAAGAGAAATTAACAACATTTAAACATAAAGCAGGGAGGGAATGTGCTTCCTCCCACTCACACATCCCCATCAGGTGCTGGGCTGTCAGATCCTCAGCCCTCCTCTCTTCCTTGTTCCAAGAGGTTGTCTCTCGGAGAGGCTGTGCTTCTCCCTGGGACGTCCCTGGAGTCTCCAGAACATAGTATGGCCAGACATGACAGCTGGCAGCAGACAGAAAACAGCAGCGGCAGGACAGCTGTCTCTTTTTTCCACACCAGCTTTTGAAGGCCCTTCTCAGCGCCAGTGGATGATGTCAACCCCCTGTGCCGCTCCAGCCACACAGAGCGAGCTGATAAAGCATGCAGGCGGCGTTGCCCACTGTTCCATGTTTTCTGCTACCATGCCTGGGTGAGGTAAGTAGTCTTATGTCATGGCTGTCTCTGGGCCATGTCCCCAAACTTCTATTTCTTCCTCGCTGCCCCTCCATCCCCGACACCAGGGTCTCCATCCTATGACAGAGTTCCCATGTTTATATAGGAAATTGTAGGAATTAGGGTCATAAACCAATGGGCCAAAGGGAGGAAACAGGCAACAGATAAATAAACATTAACACTGTGGTAACGTACACTCAGCACTTTAATTGCATCCCACACCTCTGAAGATGTCCCCAGACAAGCTTTTAATCCCGATAGCACTCAAACAGCAACCAGCAGCTTTTCCCCGAGTCTGAGTCCAGCTCCTTCTGTCCAAAATACCAGCCGACCAAACCAGTGAGATTTCCAGCTCCACTGCTCTCCAGCTTCACTGCAAAGGGCTGATCTCATCCTGTATACGTCTCTCCCACAACACAATTTTTAGGAACATAGACCTAGACGGGGCTTCCTGGGTCATAAAGTCTAGTCCCCTGCATACACAGGAAATCAGTTGTCCAAAAATGTCCACCACCTGAACCTTCTTGAACCATGACTGATAATAAAATCATGCAAATCATCCCACTGCATTTCAGTAATACCTATTTGTATCAAATTTCTAATCAATGTCAATTTTCAATTTCTTTGGTTAGCCAGCATCTAGCATTTCTGCACAAGGAACTGAAAACTTTCTTTTTATTTTCTTGGCTATCTTCAGTTCCATTTATTTGCAGCAAGCAGTGTTTGAGGTTTTACTGCATTTGCCTCCTTCGCACCTTGCACTGTTAGTATACTGTCTACTCAGATTGATTCAGCTGGTCTCCAACTGAGAATATTAGCTTGCCTACCTGTCCTTTTCATACAGCTCCTTCTACTGGAAGTTTTTTCTTCTTTAGCACCTGTTCAAGATCCCGCAAATGTCTCTATAATTGGTAATAGTGCCCACTAGTCTCATGACATTGATTTGGTCTACTCTATAATCCCACCCAATCTTGCAAATACATTTTGTAAAATTGCTGCAAGAAGTAACACACTGGGCATGTCAACATGTGCAAATGATCCAGGAGCAATGTACTCTCGAGTAACTACTTGAGAGTAAACTCTTCCAGGCACTCTACACCAGCACGGACATGGGAGCAGATTTGCTGCTCCTAGCAGCAGATTGCTTCTGCTCCTTGCAGTCCTGCAACAGGTCCCTGCAGCAGCCTGGGGGAGCTCTAGGCTCCAGCAGATAGCTGTCTCCTGGCAGGGGCTGGGACACTGCTCACTGCTCCTGGGACCTGCCTGCTGCTGTGGCGGGCTGTCACTGGAGCCTGATTGGGGAAAAATGTCCCCCTGCCCCGGCAGCAGGGAGCTCCCAGCCCCTGCTCCATGGTCAGGGGGCTCGGGTTGGGAGATCCTTACTTCCCAGCCCAAGCCCCATGGTTGTGGGACCCAGGCTGGGAGATCCTTCTCTCCAAGTGCCAGCTCCACAGTTGCGGGGCTGGTGCTGGGAGATCCTCATCTCCCAGCCCAAGCCCTTTGCTGCAGGGTCCAGGCTGAGAGATCCTTGTCTCCCAGTGCCAGCTCCGTGGTCATAGGTCAGCGCTGGGAGATTCTCTCCCAGCCTGAGCCCAGAAGTTGCAGGATCCAGGCTGGGAGATCCTTCTTTGCCAGTGCTAGCCCTGCTTGGACTGGGAGGTAAGGATCTCCCAGCCCAGGCCCCCTGACCATGGAGTGGGGGCTGGGAGGTCTCTGCTGCTAGGGTAGAGGAACACTGTCTGCGCCCAGGCTTCATTGCCAGGGCCTGCCCTGGCAGCAGGCATGTCCTGGGGGCAGGGAGCAATCTCCCCCCTCCCTCCCCACCACCCAGGAGCACATTTGTCCCTGGTCAGGTGCTACTGCACAGTAAGTAATCTTGAGTAAATTTGCTACTTGCAGGTAACAAATTTACTCACGATTAGAGCCAATTACTGCGCAATAAGTATTTGCATGTGTAGACACAGTCACTTACTTTTTAGTAATTAGCTTTTCTGTACTGTAGAGCCTCTTGTGTAGACGTGTCCACTGTGTCACAGACTCATTCTTGCTGCTTTGCATGTCCCGTGTTAGTGTCCTATTCTGGTGAAAAATACCCTGGGGCTACTTACATTTATTGATTTTGAACCTTGCAAAACCTCTGTGGTTGCTATCAGGAATATGTGAGTTCTCTGAGGAATAAACTCAGTGCCTTTGTATCATCATAAATGATGGTACAAAGCTAGTATTTTCTGCTCAGTGGAGAACAGCTCTGCAAATAGTTTTATGGTGGGCCCCACTAAGCTTTGTCAAAGTCCTGTTGATTTCGATTTTAACAGCTCTCTACGTGGTAGGGAGCTTATTGCTGATGGACTTGGGCAGCCTTTGCAAGCGTCTTTTCCCAAATACTCATTGACTAACAGTGTTGTGTCTCCCTGCTTGAGAGAGAAATTAGCACAGGAAGCAGCATCTCCTGGCTTCCAAGGGAACAAAATACTCATCAGTCTCAGCCCTATAAATATATTGTCATTGCTCCCTCTTCTGCTTCCTTTAGTCTGCAAGCATGGACACCTCTGCTCTAATTCTACCTTGTTAGTTCTTTCGTGCCTCTCAAAAAAGAGAATTAAGAAAGGAGCTGGGGAAGGGGAAACATTTCATGGTTCTCCTCTCACTTAGCGTGCTCAGTTCCAGTAAGCAGGGGGCAAGTGATAATTCCCCTTCCATTTTCTCTTGTTTCTTCTCTATATCTGTCTGGACCAAATACCCACACTGTTTCCAGGATGATCTCTTGTTGCTAAGGCCCTGATGCAAAATGAGCTGGGTTGATTGGCTCAGTCAGCCTGGCTTCTTCCAGCTCTTTGAGGACTGCAGCGTTCCCTCAGGAAAAAGGTAAGCACTGAACAGTGCTAGTCATCTTGTGCTTTTACACATCCACTTCCATTCTAGCAGCCTAACGCAGGGCATCCTTAGTGTTTTTAGCAAGGCCCATGGAGTGGCTTTCTGCTATTCCTTCCCCCACCCCCAGCAATGTCTGGCTTACTCTGCTGCACAATTAAGAGGTAAACAGGACCCCTGCAAGTGGGCAATAACTGTTTCTGGATCTGTCCCATCTTTTGTAAGCTCCATCAGATGTGAGGAGACACCCCCACCTGCTGAGTCGGTGAAACTGGCTGCCTGTCACATGCACTGAAGTGCCCTGTGCAACAGTCCATTTGAGTCAGCCTGGCTTCCAGGTATAGTGCTAGGTCTTCAGCTGCTGTAAATTATCACAGCTTTAGGGAGCAAAGGAGACTCAATTTCCAGCAGCTGCAGATCTGTCTGCTTGATTCTAAATATTGCACTAACTGCCAAAGCAGCTGAACTTCCACCACACACAAGAGCCTAATGCTCAGCTTGGTTATCTCAGCATCTGTGTGCGAGGCAGCTAGTGCACACAGTATCCACAATTCAGAGGTAGGGAAACAGGCCCAAGGAAATGAAATGCATCACATACACTTCTACTGTAAGTAACCCCAGATGTCCAAGTCTGCACTTTTTCCTCACCTAGAATTAGTTCCAAATGACCTTCCCCAGCTCAAACTGCAAGGCATCGTCAAAGCCAAAGCCCAGGTACTGCTGGGTCTTGAGTCATACCCTAAATGCATTGAATCACAGTGCTCCCGAGATGAACAGTTCAGGCTAATTGTAGGTGCCTATTCAATGAGCCCTAGAGAAGATGAGCAGCTACAGCGTCCCACTGATTTCACCTGCAGCTGTGGAGGTTCCAGTATCTCTGGAAGGTCCAGCCCAAAGTGACCTAGCTGGAAGCCAGTGCTGCAGTTAGAAAACCTGGGTGTGATCTCAACTTACTCTTTAACCTCTCTGAGTCTATGTTTTCCCATGTGAGAAATGGGGACAGTGCTACTTACCTCCTGAAATATTTGATGCCTGGTAGCACTGAACTGTTTGGAGGAGCTGTACAAGGAATCCAGTTTCAGTGCAGCTTTGCAGTTGTGCCCCCGTCCACCCCCCAATTAGTATATTCCAACCTAACACAAACAAAAACCTTCCAGGAGGAATTTCCCCACCTCTAATTAGCACTGACATAACAGTACAGAAAGGAACGACTACCAGTGTGCAAGTGCTTGCGTTTTAATTAGCTATGTTATCCCTGGGAGATTATTCCGATTGAGCTCTGCCGGCTTCTGCAGCTGAGAAGCAATTATGTGCTAGCAATTTTTCCTAGTTTGGGAAAAACGCAGCACTTACTCCCTTGTTTGTATCTTTTTTTTTTTTTTTTTTTTTTTCCCC